CCTGGGTTAGTCACTTAACCCCACTGCCTAGCAAAAAACCCCCAAAACAAAACAAAACAAAAAAGACAATTCAAACAGACGTGATTCAGTTTCCTGGCATAGCGCTGGTATACTGTCCAGGTTTCACAGGCATACAACGAGGTCAGCACAACAGCTCTGTAGACCTTCAGTTTGGTAGGCAGCCTAATACCTCTTCTCTCCCACACTTTCCTTCCCAAACACTGAGCTAGCTCTGGCAATGTGTGTGTCAACATCTCTTCATCTATGTGGGCATCCCTAGAAAGCATACTGCCAAGATAAGTGAACAATATTCAACGTCTCTCCATTTACTGTGACCAATGGTTCCATGTACAGATGGTGTGGTGCTGGCTAGCAGAGAACCTTTGTTTTCTTGTTGTTGACTGTCAAGCCAAAATTAGCACAAGCAGCAGAGAATCACTCTATTGCATCTCAGCCTCATAGGCTGCATTTAGGGTATAATCTGCAATCAAAAAGCCGAGCACCAACTCTCCCTCCATTTTAGTCTTGGCTTGTATCCTTTCCAAGTCCAATAATTTACTAGTCAGTATGGTAGTTGACCTTGATGCCATTTTTGTCTTTATTGAAGGTGTTCAACAACACTGCTGAAAGCATCATGCTAAAACGCATGGGAGCAAGCACAGCCCTGTTTCACTCCACTGGTGAGGGCGAAAGCTTGACAGCTTCATCTATTATCCAGAACTCATGCAAGCAGGCCGTCATGAAACCAATGTACAATACTGATGAGCTTCTCCGGGCACAACTGTTTTGCTCCTGGCATTTCTCTTGGAGTTGTCGGGCAGCAAACACCATTACTAACTGTTCCCCGGCCCTTTCTGAAGCAACGCTAGCTCTCACGTAGATGACCATCTTCCAGGTAAAGGATTAACCTGTTAAGGAGGACTCCAGCAAGAGAGAGACCTCTCTGTGATTGTCACAAAGAGGTAAATGCACCCTTTTCAGATCATTATGCAATAAAAATTACATGTAATAAAGGGCCATGGAAAGACAGACTAAAAAGTAATTGGAAGCTCAATAATCTAATCCTAAAGAATGAGTGGGTCAAACAACAAATCATAGAAACAATCAATAACTTCATCCAAGAGAATGACAATAATGAGACAACATACCAACTGTGAAAGCAGTTCTTAGGGGAACTTTCATATCTCTCAATGCTTACACGTATAAAATAGAGAAAGAAGAGATCAACGAATTGGGCATGCCACAGGACAGCTATTTCCTTTTCCGTATAGAGATGAACAATGGAGGCATCCTTGAAGTCCTGGGGGATAATCTCCTCTTGCCATATAACCTGAAGAATTTCAGTCAGCTTTTGTGGATCCCCTTTCTTGCAAATCCTAGCTGAAATAGAATTAGCACCAGGAGCTTTGCCAGACAAGAGGAACCGAATGGCATCCAAAATCTCTTCTTCACTTGGAAGACTGGCTAGAGAGGGACTGACTTCAACCTGAGGTATGCAGCCAGTGGCTTCAGTACTGAATGATGGCGGTCTGTTGAGAACATGGAAGCGTTCAGCCCAGCTCTCCAGAATCATGTTCTCAAGGTGGCTTCCATCAGCACTGCGCGGCTGTGATGCACCATAGGTCTCTGCCCCACAAACAGCCTTCAGGGCATCATAAAGACACTTTGGATTGTTACTATCAGTGTAAGACTGAAGTTCATCTGCCTTCTTCACTAAGCCAAGAATCCCACATGTCTCTAAGCTTCACTTGTGCTTTCCTTTGGATGGAGTTAAAAGATGTCTTCTTAGAGACAGATGTGTACTATCCTGCTGCTAAGTCCTTGGGGTTCTCTAGCAGCTTCTAAACGTCCCCATCATTTTTAGCAAACCAACCTTGCTGTTTGCTAGTATTCTGGCCCAGATGAGTAAATGTAGTGCTGTACACCACATCTCTGAAATCTGCCCACTCTTGCCAACCCTGTACTGGCTCAGCCTTCTCTCCAATTAGCAACAAACTCTTCCCCCTGGAGAAGCCCGCTGATAAACCGACATTAAGTCTTCTGGCAGTTGTCTTGCCTTGGGGCCACCACTTTTGCTCAATGTGAATGCTTAGCTTGGAGAGGATAAGTCTATGATCAGTCCAGCACCCTGCGCCACACACTGCCTTCATCACTCTCACATCCTGTCTGTCTCTTCTCCTTAAATGCCAGTGTTTGCTGTGAGGGTGCATCCACAAAGTTTTATTGTATTTAGGTAAATGGAAGACAGTGTTGGTGATGAGAAGGTCATGAGATACATAAGTCTTCAGTAGTAAGTGGCCTGGATGTTGCTATTTCCAATTCTATTCCTCCCAAGGATTCCTAGGATTCCCAGCCATGTCTGACAGTCACCCATAATTACAAACTTATCCTCTTTCAGCACAATGATGATGAGGCTCTCCAGGCCTTCAGAATTTTTTCTTTGACCTCATCAGGGTTTGTCATGGTGGAAACATACGCCCTCATGATGACGGTGTGACACTTTCCTGAAAGTGACAATCACACTGTCGTGAGCCTGTCATTTACTTCTTTTGGAAGGCATAGAAACTTGTTGACTAGATTAGTTTGGATTGTGAAACCTACACTAGCTTCACAGCATTCCTCATCACTGCAGCCACTCCAGAAAAACATGCATCCAGCAACGAAGGCAGTCAGCTGCCTTCTGCTTGTCGGCCTTGTTTCACTCAAGGCTGCTATTTGGAAGCAATACCTACTGAGTTCTCTTCCAACAAGAGCTGTATACGTCTTTCAGGTCTTCTGGATTTTGTGTTGTCCATAATGCGCACACATTCCGATGTACCAAAAGTGAGCGGAATCATCCTTACAAAAGTTTTTCTATGTATTTTTGTATTTCAATTGCAGGGTAGGATCGATCCCCGCCTTACCACAGTAAACAAGCCAGGGCTAGGTTAGGTGAAACAGATAACCTTTGGGGTACCTTTGCTAGCCTCCTCTCACATCAGTAGGTCAGCAGTGCAGTTCTTTAAAAAAGCTGCTTAGAGAACCAGGAGAACATTGTACAATAACTAACGCTGATAGACTTAGCCCTTCTCAGCAATGCAAGGATCTAAGACATCTCCAAAGGTCTCATGATGGAATATGCTATCCACATCCAAAGAAAGAACTATGGAGTTTGAATGCAGATTGAAGCAGACTATTTGCTATTTTTTTTTCTTCTGTTTTGTTTTGTTTCCTCTTTCTGGTGGTTCCTCCTAATGGTTTTAATTCTTCCTTACAACATGATCAATGTGAAAATGTGTTTAATAGGAACGTATATGTACAGCCTATATCAGATTGTGCACTGTCTTGCAGAGGGAAGTGGGGAGGGAGGGGGTGAAAAATTTAAAACTCAAAAGCTTATGGAAGTGATTGTTGATAAATCAAAATAAATTAATTAAAAAAAATTTTTTAAGCTGCTTAGAAGAAAAACAAAAAAGGCTGTTTGACACCCGGGGTTGCCAAATCCCACTACTGACTCAATCCAATGAAAAGACAACCCTACGCCCTTGGCCACCTGGGAGCAGAGTTGTGACTAGAGCCCCCAGTGTATCTGCTGTTTTGTCACTTGTCTATCACCACAGGACTCTGAAGTACGTAAAAATGGTAAAATGGTATAGGTGATGTCTTGACTTGCACATAAAATCAGATTTAAGTGAGGTAGAGTTGTATGAAGCTGTTGGCCTCACTTTGTCTACTAGAGTCAACGAAGTCCAGTGGCAAGACAAAAGCCAACACAAGTGGTGACGGTTCAAGATACAACAGATCACCCTGCTGTCTTCAATATCTAACTGAGCTCTAAGCACTCCACAGAGCCTGCTTCTACCACATTCATGGCTGTTGGAACAAACTGTTCACATCCACCCATTCCACCTGGGGAAGTCTTCACATGATTGGGGCAGATACTGCCCCCACCAATTCACCAACAGGTCTGCCCACTGGTTACCCTCAACTTGATTTAGCCTACCTACTAAGACGGCTTCCTGTGGTGTGGCTGTTGCAGATGCTATAACTTCCTGGAGTCACAGGTTAAGAGCTGGGTGGCAGATGGACACCAAAGGCGGAAAACAACCTTGAAAAGGTCTCAGCAAGCCCTCATACCAGAGGTGCCAGTTTTCCCTGAACACCCATAGGTAAGGGCAGAATTTCAAGACTCTTCAAGGCCTTGTGATGTAACAGATAATGCCTGGAGTCAGGACGTAGGAAACATAGGCTCTAGTCTTGCCTTTGCTACTTAACTAGACGTGGGACATTGGGAAAATCATTTTATCTTTATGGATCTCAGGTCCCCGCAGGGTGAAATGAGGTTGAACTGCATAATCTCGAAGGCTACTTCCAGTTCTAAAATATCATAACAGGAGGGTTCAACCTGCCATCCTGAAGCAAAATGGTGGCCAATAGAAGTTTTCAAATTAGCACTGCTCCTGTAATTTTTATCAATTTCAATAAAATTGGGTATGTGTGTGGTTAAGGGCCAAAGAGATGGGTGATTATATTAAGTGTCTACAGCAGGGGCAGCTAGGTGGTGCAGAGGATAGAGCACCGGCCCTGAACTCAGGAGGACCTGAGTTCAAATCTGGCCTCGCTGTGTGACCCTGGGCAAGTCACTTAACCCCAATTGCCTAAAAATAAAAAAAATTTTTTAAAAAAAGTGTCTACGGCTGCTAGAATAACTAGACTGTAAAATGAGGAGGATACTTAAATCGAAATGACTGTAAGCCACCCTGGGAAAAAACTCCCGACATTCTCTGTAAAGAACCAATAATACTCAATATATAATACTCAATAACAAGAATTTAGTGACATTACTACATGGGCAGGCTCTGAAAGTCAGTTTCCTCAGCTATAAAACAAGAGGGTTAGACTCAATGACCTCTGAAGTCTCTTCAGCCTCTTGGCTTCTAAATCGAGATATATGGGTGTATCAGCAGGTAGAATGTTGGCCTCGCTGACTCTGTAGGAGCCTCCTCCCCGCTGGTCCTTACCGGGGCCCCATCCGTCAGGGTGCAGCCAGAAAAGCGCTTGGCCAAGAGTCCCTCGAAATTGGTTGTTCTCTGGATGGCAAACAGAAGCAATTTCACTTCTATCTCCTTAGCTCGGGTACGCATGATCTTGGCAAGTTCCACTCTAGAAAAAAAAAAAAAAGAAAAAGGAACACGAAAATAGCCTCTCCCATAAAAGGTCAGAGCTAACTTCTGCGAGGAAAAGGCAAATGGCCTTAGTGGACATTCGGAAAAACACATGGGGGCATGTCCATCACTGAGACCAGTCCCAGCCTTCATCTAGCTTCTGGCAAGTGGGCACCAGAGCCTCACAAAAACTTTCAGGAGAAGCCAGCAGCACACAATCATGGACTTGACAGGCAACGATGACAGTCCCAGGTACTTCTTCTGCCTCTGCTGATGTTATTACACTAAGAACTATCTGGAATTATGAATCAGACAATGGTTTTATAAGCTGTCACTTTACTATATAAAAATAGCTGCACTGCACAGAAGATCACTACATTTTCTAGAGATAAATATCTTCTGCTGCTGTTTGCTTAGACTTGTGCTTTCACTGGCATAAGGGATGTCCCAGGAGAGGAAAACTTTCACCAATACTGACTGCAACAGTTCTGAAGCTTATAGCCTGGGGCATGGAGAGGTTAATAAACAACCTGCCTGGGATGTTGAAGGGAGAGGCTTGAATCCAGGGCTTCCTAACTCCCAAAGCAGATTTCAATGCAACTCAAAAATGTTTAATAAAATAAACAGAAATACAACACAGATAATGGTAGTTTGTGGTTGTCTAAGTCAATACGTTGTGTATTTGTCTCTATTTGTGTTTGACCCCACTGCAGTACAACATGCTGCCTCTCACATAAATGATTTCCTAAGGCATTAACACTGAATTAGGAATTCTCGAACAACTACCTCTCCAAGAGATAAATGAAAATGGCCTGTAGGTAGCAAATTCACTATGAAAGGTGATAATTCATCTCTCTGTTTATGTGGCCTCCGTCAAAATAAAGGATGTGTTTGGTTACCAGACTCCATCTGCAACACAGGTCATGGGTAGGATGACCTGTGGCTTTATCAGTGTGGGGCACTCCCAATGTGGGAACTCTCTCAGCCACGCAGAGGGCAAGCTCCATACAAGGGAGGACCTGAAGGAGGCTGGCCTGGAACCCAGGGCTTTGTGACTCTTATCAAGCACTGCCTTGGCTCCTGCTTCCTCAGTGCTAACCTGCTCTCACCTTCCCTCAAGGGCTAAATGACAAACCTCAAAACCAAGAGGTCGGGAATTTATTTGGGTATCAAGAATCTGTGGGGCCTTTTGCCAGATTTCTAACAACTGAAGCTTGGCAGGCGCCGTGGCTTTAACAGAAGAACAATAGCTGGCCAGGAAGTTCAGACAATCTTGCTAGCAGGGCCATGGGCCTGTAGCCTCCCCAAGACTCTGCTTGTCAGTCTAGATACAGGCGAAGGAGAAGCAGCTCCCACTTCCTCGAGGGTCAAAATTTGAGAGGGAAGTTAACACCCACTTTAACTATGCCCTGACATCTAAATTCATAGTGCCCTACTGTTTCTCAAGAAAGGAAGGAAGCTGGCATTTATAAAGTCCCTACTATGTGCCAGACACTGCGTCATTGGAGCCTCACAACAAGACTGAGAAGTAGGCGCTATTGTTGTTCTCATTTCACGGCCGAGGAAACTGCCACAGAGAGGCTTGGTGACTTGGCCAGGCTCACACTATTAGTGAGTATCTCAGGCAACATTTGAGCTCCAGTCTTCCGGACTCCAGGCCCAGGACTCTACCTACTGGGCCCACCTAGCTGCTCCCCCACAACAACCAATCCAGCATCCCCTTTTCTATAAAAGCTTTCCAACAAGGTTTTTAAACTATAGAGATGAATTCAGCCCAGATCCAAACAAGGACAGAAATTGATCTGAGCTGTTGTGCAGCATTTTGGTTGGGTTTAGGGAATCATCAGGATAATGTAGGAGGCTGGGCTTTTGTCTTTTTGGCATCATCTTCATTCCCCACTGTCTTCCTCTTCCCGCCCCTTTCCAGAGAGCTAAGCTTTATAACAAGACATCATACCCAGCAAAACCAGCCAACAGATCTGAAAAAGCCTGACATCACACGTGGTTTTCTGCATCCCTGCTCCCTCACGTCTCTCTGCAAAGTCATGGGGGAAGGTAAGACCTAGCCTTTTAATGGTTATTTAATTTATCTCACGAAGGGGTCACTGCTTTATACTCTATCTGCACCAAATGCTTGACTTACTCAGTGTGCGTCTGAACATGCCCTCTGAGGCTCTGAGTTCAGGTAACTCAATTATTACTAATCCCACCTGCAGTCTAGCAGGTTTGTTCTCAGCTTTGTCACCGATGTACTGACTCCATCTTTGGGGCTCCAATCCTCTCATAGTGGGAGGCTGTCCTGGCCATGGTCCATCTACTCGGAGGTCTTTCCTGATCTTTCCACTCTCTGCCCCCCAACACACAGTGGAATGACTTGGCGAATATTTTACAGTCACTTAAGTGTGTCCGTGTTGTTTCCCATCATATAAAGTCACTTGCTTGAGCGCAGAGACCATCTCACTGATCTCTGCACCTCCAGCACCTGGTGCAGTCCTTGGCCTGCAGGAGACCCTGTTCACTGAATTAATGAAGGCTCTCCCAATAAATGCAGTGAAGACTGTTAAATGCTACTACCATCACCTGCCAGTAACAACTGAAGGTCAAGGCCCACCCATTATTATGGAAGAAACAAAAGGCTAAGACAACCAGCATCCTGATCCTCGAGGACCTTCCTTATTTTTCCTGTTTTACCTTCTTAGCAAGTCCGAACCAGACATGCTACAGACTTAGATGTTACAGCACAACACATGTACAACGAGGAGTGGGAATGATGGAGACCCAAGAACCCTGGGGTGGAAGGTAATTTGAGGTTTCTTAGAGAAATGCTTTTTGAGCCAGGGACTCAGTGGAGGAGAGAAACTCAGCCAAGCACCAGCTAAGACTCTGCCCCTAAGCAGAGACCCACAGAGAGGAGCACATGGGCAAGGGAATCTGCTGCATGGAGACAGAGGGGGGCTTCCATTCAGACACACGTTAGCGAAGCTCGAAGTCCACACACTGACAGCAATCTGTATGTGGGGCCACTTTAGAGCCACAGACATGAGAGTTAGTCCTCTGAAGCACCAGACTCAGGGCATGTCTTGTACTGATTCACCTTGTGACATGGCAGAACTCTACAGCGATCCTCTCGGTCATGTACCACTCGTGGGGAAACATACGCCCATATTTCTCTTCATAGTCCACAAGCTGGCGTTTTATCCAGGCATAACGTCTGTCGATTTTGTCGAGCCAGGCAACCTGGTTAAGATGGGGAACAAAAATCACCTGGTACCCACAGACAGCACTGACAGCTTAAAGAGAGAAAAGGAACACAGCCAACCCCTCAACCTTTCCCCAGTACTCTCAAGTCTGGGAAAGAACAGTTGACGTTTACATGTTGTTGATCTCACACATTCACAGCTCACAGATCAACATCACCACTCAGGGATGCTAAGAAGGGACTAGGCCCAGAGGGGCTGAGCACACAAACACAGGCTCTCTTGATCAGCACTGGAACAAACCCAAAAGGAGCATCTGAGGAATCTGGTCAATACTCACATCTTGGTTTTCTTGAAAGAGCACCAGGTATTCAGAGAGGTGCTGCTTAATAAACTTCTTGATGATTTCCTGTTTGATCCTGGGGTCCAACACATTAGCAACCAGACATGCGTCTCGCAGGACATTGCTGGGGCCTCCAGGCCTCTGTTAGGACAAACAACAGGTAACAGTTCAACAGCTAGGGCAAAACAACAACACCACATAGAAGCCTTGAAAAACTGCCTGGCCTCTGACAGCTTCTCCTTCTTTTTCTATCTGACACTTGTTACCTCTGCAGTGGACGGGTATTTTGATTATCTGTTGCTCCTCGATGAAACAATCATCTCTCTCTCTCTCTCTCTCTCTCTCTCTGTCTCTCTCTCTCTCTCTCTCTCTCTCTCTCATGACCCCCCCCTTACCCCCTCTCTCTGTCTCTCTCTATCTCTTTCTTTCTCTCCCCCTCCCTCCCTCCCTTTCTCTCTCTCTCTCTCCAACCAACATCAAAGCTGCTTTGTGAATCAGAGAGGAGAAGCTTGGGAAAGCAAGGCCAGGGCTGCCTGGGGGACATCTGACATTCTGAAAACCAAAACGGAAGCCAGTCTGTTGAGGCTGTTTCAGCAGCATTCTCCAAAGCGATAGAATAACCTTAGCTTCCCCCCAGGTAGACTCCTCCCACTTGACTTGCACCTCTGGGATCCTCCAGTCTGAAATCACTACATCTGGGCCACACTACGTCTGGGGGGAAAGGGGGTCTCCTAAACCCTGAGGGGCTGCCAAACCACAACACTAGTTTCACTAACGGTGAACTATCCATCTAGGCCCCCTAAGCTCTTAACGGGTCATAGAGAGGCAGGGTACATCAGCACTGTATCCTGAGGGAAGGTCTCTCAGTAGGATGTCTGCAGCCAAGCTTCCAACCCATTATAATTTTCACAAAAGTAAGTAATACACGGAAGGAAAAGCACCAGACCTGAAGTTGGGAGGCTGGAGTTCCAGTCTTGGCTTTGCAACTCCCTCTGGGACAACTCCCTTCAGTCCCGTCCCCTCTCAAAGCCTCAGTTTCCCCTCTGAGGCCTCTTCCAACTCAATCACTCAGTGACTCTGTTAGTTTCATCCATTTAGATACTGAGGTCAGACTGCTTCACAAATACTAACTACAATAGCGAACCTTTCTATAATGCTTTAATGTGTACAAAGTGCATTACATCTATTCACTCACTGGACATCATTATTTAGAGAAAGAGCCTGATGAGGGCTAGACTAGTTCAAAAGCCCTGGGCTCCTACCCCGGCTCCAATACTTATGAGCAACGTGAACATGAGGAAAGTCACTTCCCTTCTCTGAGCCTCAGTTTTATCATATATAAAATGGGGACAGTAACACCTACAGAGTACCTACCTTTTAGGATCGACATAAGGCTCAAATGGGCTATAAAATGCCTTGTAAATTTTTGTGTATTATATAAATATATCGACTTTTAAATATATTAAATATTTAATAAATATTAGATATATTATCAAATATAAATGCCAACTATTTTTATTACTGTCATTCCTGTTTCAAAAATGGAAACTGAGTCACCAAATGGTCAAAGGACCTTTCTAAGGTACCACAGTAAATTCATACACAACCAAAAATCTGAATTGATCTCTTCTGGCCTCCAATGTCATCACCTTCCCCCATGTATTCAGTTTCTCCTAGTGGGCCAGCTGCAGAATTGTCCCAAGGTCACATATTCATCCCAAGTCAGGTCCACTGCACAGCAGGCAGCAGGCCAGCTTTATGACTTCATCCTTAGAGTCCTTGCTTCCCAGTCTTGGGGGAAAATGCTAAGCCTCACAAAAGTGGCATTTCGGTGCATGTTTCCAAAGAGCCACAGTTCTACAAAAGATATTCTAAGGCCGGCCAATATGCTATTAAAAAAAATAAAAACAAAACTTGAAAAATAGCAGGGGGCAGAAAAATAGAGCCGGTTAAAGAAAACCATCCTAAATGCAACAAGCTGATGGGCTCTGGGAAAAAGAAAGCTGGAACATGGGTCAGCGCTGAATTCTTCCAAATAATAAAACCGGCCTTCATGGGCGGCCTTCTGAGGCCTGTGGCTTCAGAAGCAAAGAACAAAGAAGTATCCACTGCTTCAGGCGCAGGTTAGGCCACAGAGCCTCTGAAGTCTCTTTAGACAGAAAGATTAGGATAAAAATCAAGGGATTTCCATCCTCTCTTTTCACCACCATGTCAAGCATTCTCAAGTAAATGACTCATCTACGAAATGGGGACAGCACTGTTTCCCTCTGGCAGGGATAACGTCAAGCCAAGTCATGTACTATTAGTGAGTAAAGAAGGAGGCCCCCACGATGGAGGGCCATATATGTACAAAGCCCGATGGGGAAGGAATTCTCCATCAGAAACCGTCAGTACGCTCAGCAGCAGTACTCAGCAGCTGCCCAAAGAAGGTGTAAGGTTGATCCTTCAGAGCTGGGCCAAACACCCACACCTGCGTCCTAAATTACATCCACGGAGGACAAAGGCACATGATTAGGGAGTTTCCAGTTACGGAATATTAAACCAGATCCAGGAAACTTTTCCCTGGCTCAGTAAGTGAATCTGGGCTACCAATGCCGTGGTGAGGAAGGCTGCTTGCCAACGTTATTCTCACTCTGGCCTGAACAATGGTCTCCAGAAATACCTCAGAGAAATGGGAGCTGATTATATCTCTAAGGGGTCTCCCTCCAACACCCATGATGCTATCTTCTGAAATTTAAGGGGTCCCCTTAACAGAAGCTGCCACAGCAAATCAACAGCCACAGCTAGGGATGCCTGCTATAGGAGAAGAATAAGGCAGAGGTCCACGATTGGAATACTTTGGAGGCTTCTTGTATGCAGGACACACACAAATGCATTACCAGAGACAATTCTCCAGCAGGGCAGCTGCTAAAAGCAGGGCTGTGATTATCTTGACAGCGTCTCATCACATGCTATCGAAAACTGCTGACATTCTGTCCCAGAGACTTTTCCTCCTTTGGGGATAATCAGAGGTAGATGACTTTTCCTGAAAGAAATTTTAGCCTGAGGCAAACCTTTCAGGACTTTTTTTTAAAAAATATAGCCATGAGCAAAATGTATTTCAAGAGGAACCAGGATATTAGGATTTGACATACAGCAGACTGGGCAATACAATTCTTCAGTTAGCAACTGCAGGAATCAGGGCTGTCCTGCATATAGTACAGACAACATTACAGCAAAAAGACATCAGGCTTCTAGACAGAAAGGAACATTTTAGGAACCCAGACCGATGTCAGGCACACAAGAGATCAAAGGTGGCAAGCGCAGCGGTAAAGTGTGCTGAGTTTGTTTGGACTCGACACCAAAAAGATGACATCCCAATGTGAGTTACCTTGGTACCCTGGGAAGGGAAAGCCTCTTCAAAATCAGCCAGGATCTGCTGCCCTAACTCAGTCTGGGCTGCCTTTACTCTGTGGGGAAAAGAAGACATGTCATGGCCTGGCATTGTTTGTCATGAACAAACTCTCAATTACCTACCTGTTGAATTAGACACAAAAATCACAGAACTGGAAGGGCTCTTAAGGGGTCGTTTAATACCACCCTATGTTTTTACAGACAGGAAACTACGTCCCAGAATGGGGAACTGAACTTCTTCCAGGTCACCTAGTTAAAGAGAGCAGAGCCAGGGCTGCACCAGCTTAGCCACCTCCTGTCTGATGCCGGCCTCCCAGCTAATGTTCCTTTAAGGTGTCCTTGGCCTACTCACTGAGGATATTTTCAGGAAATGCCAACTCTAGCAGCCTCAATAAAACAAACTAGAAAGGTTGATTTGAAAAAATAAAAGCTCTACAATGCCAAGGCAGATCTGAATTCTGGCTATCTCTGTTACCAGCCTTCTACTCACCCTAAAAATCACAGGCACCACATCAGATACTGAGGATACGATGATAAAACCAAGATCAAGTGCCACCTTAAAGACCTGAGAAAAGCTAACATCGGGACAGCCAGGTAGTGCAGCGCATAGAGCTCCAGCCTTGGAGTCAGGAGGACCTGAGCTCCAATCCAGCCTCTGACATCTGACACAGACACTAGCTGTGTGACCCTGGGCAAGTCACTTAACCCTGACTGCCTCACCAAAAAACAAAAACAAAACAAAACCAAAAAAAAAGCTAACATTTCACTGACGCCTTTCACTGTTTATATCGCAGCCATTTCTGGAAATACTACCACCCACTCCTGCCTAGCGAGTCTTCCATCCCAACAGACAAAAGCCTTACACAAACCAACCACCACGGGGCCTGTATCTAGCAACAGATCGTGGGAAACAGGATCACATGAAGAGGGAGAGGTCAATGAGGGAAACCAGCAAAAGCTTTCTGTAGGAGCAGGCACATGGAATGAGAGCTTTGAGAGAAGCTGACGACTCCCGAACAGGCACAGCTGAAGAAGGAGCACCTCCTAGGGATGGGGGACACCTGTCTGTATAAAGGCGTGGGGGCAGGAACCAGGATGCTGCACCTAAAGGTGGGAACAGGGCCTGAAATGCCAAAGAGGGAGTTCAGGCTGTGTCTTCGAAGCAGGAAGGAATCAGTGGAGATTCCTGGAACGAGGCTTTCCCAAGGCAGGGAAGAGGTCTGGAAGCTGGGAGTCCAATGAAGATCTGCTTGTAAGAGTATGGTCAAGAGGTGACACAGGCCTGAACTATGGGGGCCGCTGGGGAAGTCCAGAGAAAGGAAATGATGCAAGAGATGCGCAGACCAAAGCAGCGAGAGCTAACAACCGACTGGTTCTGAGCAGTGATGGAGAGGAAAGCCACAGTGGTGGCCTGGGGAGGAGAAGGTGGGAAGGGCCTTTAGCAGATATTTGGAGGAGGAAAAGGAGTGGATTTAAGGAGGATAAGTTCCATTTAGAGCAGGCTGAGTTTGAGATACTCACGGGACAGAGAGAAGGAGAGACAGGACAGAGAGACAGAAGGTGAGAAATGCTTCCGAAGAGGCACACTCCCCAAGGAGATGGGCTAGACTGCTTAGGAACAAGGGCAGCATAGGCAGAGGGGATGGCCTCGGCCAGAAGGAAAGGAAGGACCACCTCTTCCTCCAAGTCTGAAGCAAAGGAGGAAATGCTTGAAGAAAGCAGAAAGTTTAGAACAACCCCCAAGGGAAGTATTACCGAGTATCAAATAGCAAAGAATAAAGATTTCTGTGCAGCAATTAAGGTTAAACTGAGATTTTTCATATAATTTTGTAGCGGACCCAGTCAGCACAATTGTGTTATTTCCTCCAATGGAATTTTGCAGCACACATGTAGAAGCAGAGAAGACAGATGGCAGTAGGCTAAGCCAAGAATGGGGTTTGGCAAAGCATGAGTGGTAACAGGAGAAAGGAACAAGAGGTCTGAGGGTGGATGAAATGGTTAAATATAACGGGAAGATTGTGAAGGGAGGAAAGGAAATCCACAACAAGGGGGAAGGGACCAAGCTAACAGGGAGGGCTGAAGCTACTGGAGGTTGGGATGAAGACAAAGAACAGTCTTTGGAAGAAGAAGACACAAGGCCACATAGAAGGACAGGAGTTTATGGGTAAGTAATGGTCAGATCCAGGGTATCACTGCGGATAGCTGAGGCTGAGAGAAAGTGGAAGTCATAAGGACTGAGGAGGCTGGCGAATGCACAGCTCCTAGTAGTTGAAGACTGAAGCCCGCAAATACCCTTAAGGCAGGGGTTGGGGTAGGAAGGAAAGTCATATATACCCTTTCAATTTCTGACCTAGAAACTAACAACAGAATCTTCAACTAAATACAAATATGGGTTTTTTCAAAAATGGTAAGACATCTACAAGTGTACAGGTGCATTATTTATGGGATCACAGACTTGGCTGGAAGAGACCCCAAGGCCATCCATCGCTTCAAACCCTCTCATTTTACAGATGAGGAAACTAAGGCTCAGGAATGGTATGTGACTTCACTGTGGTCACAAAGCTAGTAAATGCCAGAGGCAAGATCTGAACCCATGTCTTCCTGACTCTAAGCCCAGAACTTTAACCATTAGACCACAATATTTCTTGAGCATATTCACTTATGATTGAGACATCTGAGTGAATAATTAGCTACAGAGAACCAGCAGATCAAATTAGCTTTCCTGAGCTCCTTTTTCTTAATCTTCATTACAAGGGGTGACTCATGAGGTAGTTGAAGTTAAAAAGCGGAGGGGGGTATTTGGAAATGAATGGGACAGCAAGGCATTTAAGTGGAGAGAGCACAGGACATCTGGTCAGGGAGACCTGAGTTCAGATTTGACCTCAGAGAGTTAGTAGCTGTGTGAGCCTAGATAAGGCATCCTGTTGGCCTCAGTTTCCTCATCTGTGAAACACGGATAATAATCATCATCCCAGGGTTGTTCTGAAGCTCAAATAAGAAAATAGCTGTAAAGTTACCAGGTCTGTGCCCCAAAAGAGATGAAAAGCAAAAGGAAAAAGGACACACACGTACAAAAATACTTACAGCGGCTCTTTTCTGGCAGCAAAGAACTGGAAATTGAGGGGCTGCCCATCAGCTGGGGAACGGCTGAGCAAACTGTGGTATGTGATTGTGATGGAATACTACTGTGCTATAAGAAAGGCTGTGCAGGATGCTCTCAGAGAAACCTGGAAAGACTTACACGAGCTGATGCAAAGTGACACGTACTGTGTACACAGTAACAGCAATGCTGTAGGATGGTCAGCTGTGAATGGCTTAGCCATTCTCAGCAAGACAACGATTCAAGACAATCCTGAAGGACTTGTGATGAAAAATGCAATCCATTCACAGACAAAGAACTGATGGTATCTGAATACAGACTGAAGCGTACTTTTTTTTTTACTTTATTTTTCTTGTGGGATTTTTTTTTGGTCTGTGTTTTCCTTCACAACATAACTATTATGGATATGTTTTGCATGACGACACACGTATGACCCATATCAAATTGCTTGCCTCTCAATGAGGGAGGGTGGAGAGGGAGAGAGAGAATTTGGAACTCAAAGTTTTAAAAATTAAAGTTAAAAACTGTTTTTTATATGTAACTAGGGAAAATGAAATACTAAATACATTTTTAAAAAAGAAAATAGCTATAAAGCACTTAGCACAGCACATAGTAAGTACTACATGAACGTCAGTTATTATTATTATGAATGTGCAATAAAAACAAAAGGCATTAATAAGACTTTTTAAAAGAACAGACTATCTAGGGGAAGGGAGTAGTAGGAGCACCCAAAAGGAAACACTCCAAAGGGGCTGAACAAAGCATTTCTCTTTCCTCCTACACCAGTGCCCCATTCTAATCAACCACAAGGACTGAAGGCCCACCTACTGTACATGAGTCTCTTAAAGATTGTCTATTCCAATCCCTTCATCTTTGTTTTGTTTTTTGCTAGGCAATGGGGTTAAGTGACTTGCCCAAAGTCACACAGTGTCAAGTGTCTGAGGCCGGATTTGAACTCAGGTCCTCCTGACTCCAGGGCCAGTGCTCTATACACTGCACCACCTAACTGACCCCCCCATCTTATAAAGAAGGAAACTGAGGCCTATAGAAGTGATGTGACTTGCCCAAGGTCACACAGATATTCTGTAGCAGGGCTGGGATTTGAACCCAGGTCCTCAGACTCCCAATTCAAGGCCCTCTCCATGACAGAATACTGGTTCAACCTCATAAACCATAATTAAAACACTGTATAAGTGTGAACTGTTATCACACTAATATTCAATGGAACAAAAGGGTAGAAAAGGCCCAGAGACTGATGGCTGTCTCCCAACACAGAATGAAATCTCCATGCATCTAAGGTCAGTTTCTCCATATACATCATAAAAAAAAGTCTGCTCCCTTTCTTTATCTCCACCCCCTTTTTTTTTCTGCATTAACTTCACTAAGTTTCAAATAACAGCTAAGAACCCCAAACCACAATTTCTTTGGCTCAAACTATGAGACTGGCTGGGCCTGGCAACCTGAGATTTTTGAAGCAGAAAGGGGAGGGTGGCTGAAGCTGCCTATTTTTCGTTGGTACAGTTATAATTATGTCTTATCCTAAATACTTTCCAGGGTTTTTCCACTATCTGCAAAACTTTTCAAACCACACTCATGGGTAGGTTTACTGACACTAATGACCTCTTCTTTACCACTTTGTCAAAAAGGACTAAAAATGTCTAAGATAAGGCTATTGCTAACTAAATCTATGTAAGGAGAGACTTCTCAGGAACACCAAGCGGACAAAGTTTTTGCACAAACACAATCAATACAGAGAGACTCAACAGAGAAACTATGGAGTTGGGGGGAAAGTCTGACAGTCAAGATCTAAAGGGGACTGATGCAAATAAAAGATCTAGAGCCATTCCTCAACAGAGAATGTCAGTAATTTACAAAAGAAGAAATGCAAACTAGCAACAACTATGTGAAAAAATGCTCTGAATCATTAATAATAAGAGAAGCAAGGCTGAAGCAGCT